GCAATGTATTTTTGGGGTGGTCGCGGGGTCGCGGCAGCGACCGTGGGGCCTTCTCCGCGCTCTAGCCACATAGAGTTAGAACTCGCCTACTATACCTACTCTCAATAATTATGAATCTTGGTTGTATTTAGGTATTTAAAATAATTAATAAACGTTGTTTCTATAAACATTATATTACGCTATATCTTGGTCGAAAAACGGTTGAAGCATATACCCTTTGTAACTTTTCATTCTATAACTATTTGTTTTTTGTTCATGGCAATATTTTCTTTTTTTGTGATGTTTTTTGTTGTCTTGTACGTGACTGCAGTCCCCAAAATCTTACTGCCATTCCGCATGGCGTCATACCCCCACCACCGAAGAATCCCCGCGCTCCGCTTTCCCTCGCCTACGAGTATCCCCCGCGCCCCGCGCTCCCCTCAGAGGACCAGAGTTAGAACCGGCCTACTAATTAATCGATGCAGCTGAGTAAATAAAATGCGCGGACAGTTAAGTACGCTGATAGTCCCACGCGAAAATCCTGTTTTTCTCTTTTTTCCCCCTTAATATACTTTTGTGATATAAGTAGTTCAATTAATTATCTGTATAAGGTCAAATAATATATTTTCGTGTAATAACTGCGATTATTCGTGTACCTTAAAATCAACAATTGTAGGAAAAATAATGGTTCGACATGTATGGTATGTATTCGACTTAATCGATGAAAGATTTATATAAAAATAAACATGTTTAATGATGTTGCGTTTATGACAAATACGCTTCGTGTCGATCAATATTTTGTATGAAATGTTTCTTTCTAATCACATACAGCCCGCAATCCTTAATCCGCACCGGATGTCCGCAAAAGTTACTAGGGATCGCGTCCGTAGTAGGGATTGCGGATTGCGGCAGATATTTTCTCACGTAATCCGCAACTTATGTGAAAATGAGCATGAACGTATCCTCACTTTACTTTACAGCGTTTATGGTAAATCGCGTAATAATCTGATCACCGCAGTAGAGTTTCGAAGAACCCGTTTTGATTACTCTATATTAGTTTTTGATACTCAATTTAGACGTGATCTGAACGTATCGACCTCATATTTATTGTTTGAAGACGGGAGCCATTAATTAAAGAAGAAAAAAAATGATTACCGCAGTAAATAACAGAACACAGCCATAGATTATTCATGATCTTTTCTACATATTGTAAAGTAAATATTATTTTATTGAATGCTATTAGATGCATGCAAGCTGTTATAAATATAAATTATTAATAAATATGTCTTTTCTTTTTACAGAAAATAAAATGTGGCTATTGTGGATGGATAATGTCGGACGACATAAACGATTTAGTGAAATATAAATGTTTATGACGCTGAAGCTAGCCCCCTATTTTGGCCACCTATTCGCTCGCGCGCGGCGAAACCCAGGAACGAATCGCGCTCGGGGCCCCGCTTTCAGATATCGAAAAACAAATGAATAAAAATCACGGAAATCAATAAAATATTACGTCAAATGTAATTTCAAACGCAG